GCTATGCATCAACTGCCTCTCGGTTTTATTATAAGAGCATTACATAGCTCATTGTGTGCTCCCACTGTCATCAGAAAGCGGTGGCAGAAAAGCAGAAAATAAATTACGTCATCTTCAACACTGTGCGCATAGTTGTTATAAACCAAAAGTTTTCAAGTGGAACTTTGGCAGAAGATTCATCAGGTCGTGCTGAAGCCTGCAAGAACATGATAGGCAGAGCAAGTGGCTGCAAGATGAGCACAGTGAAAGGTGCAGCAGCTTCAACAAGACATCACTCTGACCATTGGGAAAGAGCCACATAACGCCATACTCGCGCTGCCCATGCAAGACCCAAGGAACTGAAAAATCCATATGACACAATTTTTGTGGGTCTGGAAACACCAGCCACAAACTTGACAACCTTTTGCCATATCAATAAACATCGAGACATAGCTCAGCGACACAATCGGTGACAAGTGAGTGCTCTCGCTTCTACACGTTATAAGAATTACATAGATGCCCTTTTAGTTTCTCGTCAACCTTGACAACATTTAGTTGTAAGTAGCACAGACAGAGGACACTTTTGCCTTCTTTTCAAGCCACTTGATGAATATGGCCTAATCCTAAAGTCTCAGAAAAAGGTTTTCGGAGTTGAAGCATTGGATTTTCTCTGCCATTGCATTTCACCCAAAGGCATTCAGCCACACGAATGACGAACATGGGTAAACAAGGACTTCTTTTCTTCAACTTCCTTCCGAGAGCTGCAGAAGTTTTTGATGCTAAAAAATTATAGAGGCACCTAATACCATCCTGTACCTAAACTCTTCAGCCGCTTATATACGTGCTACATAGCAACTATTAAGAAACTACCAGTACCTTCCACTGGTCCTTGGAGCGCATTTCCACGGGGCTTTTAGTCGAAAACCAGGCACAATTACAAATTTTTTAAATTTGTCGATTTGATGCCATGCATTCTGAAACAACAAAAAACATTATTCAAAGGTGCTTTATTTGTATAATACTTGCAAATTTTGTTTTGAAAGTGTGCAAAGGATTGGCTTTACTGTACCGCACCACGGAAAGTGCCCTAACCTCTCTAGTCTTCAGTGTCGAAAATGTCGCTTTGAAATTTAAAAAGCAACGTCACTCACCATACGGCCGACATGTTGGCATGGCAGTGGATGAAGTTATTCCACAGCACGCTGGCACAGACCGGAAATCACTGATATTCTTAAAGTGCCTGAAATCTACTGAGGCTCAATACAGCACCTTCAGGAGAGAGATATGGGCCATCTATTACCTAGAAACATTTCAAATCCCATTTTCCCTGCTGAAGTTTGGGACAGTGGCTCCTGTTCTTTCCAGCCTGGTCTTAAATTCTGATTCATTGTTTCCTAGCTTTTATTTTTTTGCCTGTTCCAGTGAAGTACTGACTCTGTGTTCATTATTGGGAAACTGAACACAAGCTGGGTGCAGGTGACACAGGGTGACGTGTGTTGAGGCTGGCTGAGCCACGAATGTAACTTCTGCGAGTGCTACAAGCGAGTCGATCCAAGGGAGCTGGAAATATTTCCTGGACACAAATTGATGACCAATCCATGCAGCATTTCACCTACGCCGATTCTTAAAGTCCTTGATGGTTGTACTGAGCCCCATTAGTAACAGAGACAGCTTTTGAACCCTGTGCTGTCTATCGAGCATGGCAATCAAAGGTGCATTCAGTTCTTGGTGGAGGCACTCGACCATGCTGTTGCTAGCAGTGTGGTATAAACCACGGCATTATGAAGGCGCGTGTTCAACAGTCGTGCCAGGGCAGAGTGAGTGAGCTTTGGAACTGCCAGCCTCGATTTGTGGTTATGCACAAGGTATAGCTCTACTGCTATACCCATATAATAATAAATTCTTCCACCACTATTTCAGTCTTCTGGCAAAGGGTTTGCTTCAAGCCACTTTGAGTTGTTATAAACACACAAGGAGGTACTTAAATCCTTGACGGGGAGAGAAAGGCTCCACCAAGTCTAAATCCAGGTTCTATGATTGGTTCGCTAGTGGCTGGAGTGATTGCACTTCTGTATGTATGTGTGTACCCCAGGTCACATTTAAAGCCAACAGTTTTTACAGGCTCTTGTCCAGGTTCAAATGTGTTTGTTGATTCCCAGTCACACAAAATGGTCTGTGATAAGCCTTGCATCACTGTGATCCCAGGATGGTTTAATCTGTGCAGCAAGTCAAATATTTGCCACTGAAATTTATGGGACACTAGCAGACGAGAAGCTGCCTGGGATGTGTCGCACGGGCCTGAGTTCTTACCTGCCGACTCTCACAATTAGCCCAGGAGACTACTAAATTTTGAGCAGTCTTTGCATGGGCATCATGGACATAAATTGCCCCAAAAACTGAGGTAGCACCATTGGGAAAAGAAAATAATGACAACTAAGAATATCAATTTTAAAATTTTGTATCACTTGCTGAGTCCTTGAGCCACTTTGGTGCAGTGCACTGGTGTCATGTGGAAAAGTACAGAAATGTTGTCAAAGAGAAATGAGTTGTCACGGAACACAGCAATTACCAGTCATTTAAATCCAGAAAAATTACAAGGGGGAACACAAATGAGACCATGGTGGCCATTTTGCTTTTTTATGTGTGTTGTCGTTTTATGTACATCTAAAAACTAAATACTGTTTTGAAATAAAGTTTTAAAAACGAGCATGTGGTCCAATCTTGAGTAATTGCATTCAGTCTTCTTTGAACTCCACAAGTGACTTTTGCGATTTCCAGTCTCTCACACAGCTAAAGGGTATTGAACACAGGTGCACACTGAAAAATAGTCAGCCTCTATAAAATGCTGAATGTGCTATACTTAATTATCAGGTTACTCAAGTATATATTGTTTAAAACTAAATGTGTCCTCCCCAGCCCGAACACAAGATGAGGTACTCCCTGAACCCCCCCCCCCCCCCCCCCCCCCCCCCTCCTCGATTTACACCATGGAGGAAAGAAACAACTGAGAAGAGGCCCTGACGTCACTCGTTGTGAAGCCGTGGCGAAGCCGGAAGTCGGCCATATTGTCTGGGCAAATGCTCCTCTCTTGTTTACATCTGAATGTGAAGCAGAAGGCTCGACTCTCCAGTCTCTCTAGTGTGCAAACCACATGCACTGCCCAGCGCACGCGTCGTGGGGAACCGAAATCATCGGAGCGGGGCTCAACCCGCAGAGCCAGCGCGACACCGTCAGCGAAATCATCCGGTCAGAATATCAACAGCTCGCTGACAACGAATCCAGTACAAAAGAACGCGCGCTAGATGCACTGACAAGGGCAAGTGTGGTATTAATTCATGCGCTGTATGTACAACACAATCGGACGTGCGCCGCCTTCTACGGTTGCATTGCATTCCGACACACGGCCACGCGGCGTCCGGCTACTGTGCCTGCCTGAAACTCGCTGGCATCAGCATTCTGCTACCGGGTCACTTTGAGCACGGTGCAAGTGACACTGGAATGCGGTTGCTATAACGTTGAGATTACAATGCTGGGGACAAGTATAGCAAGCGGGACAAAAAAGGTGTTTTAATACACACATGCAAGTTGTTACTGTACACATACCAAACACAAAACTACGTATGTGCACATGGTCCTCATTGTGTCTTGCTGGGCACAAAAGTTTCATCCGTTTTCACAAGCAGGAGCACTACGCAACCATCACTGACCTGCAAAGCATTCGTTGTCGTTCCGTTTTGTCATGGTGCCCAATGCGATTTTGCTGAACACTTGAAATGCTTCATCTGCGTCATCTGCTGCACGACACATGGATATGCGCTCGTTCTACGCACTGTTAAGGCCCCTTGATGGACAAAGGGTTTTGTAAACGTTGCTAGAAGTACAGTGAATGCCAGGAGAACACTGGGTAACAATAACATGACATAGAGCACGGATATTGTCCGCCACAGCTCGGTACGAGACCTGCGGAGGCGCACATGCCACCACCAGCCGCGTCCGCTCACTGATAGACCAGCTACACCGTGCAACACATAACCATAGCAACACCACCATTGGGCCCAGTGAATATGGCCGCCATGACATCATTTCCTTCACACTTCGCGTACCACGCCGGCTGGGCATGCCCTCTCCTCTTTTTCTTTCCTCCATGATTTACACCAAAAGGGAACTACGCACGCTTGCATGTGCCATATGATTGTTGACATCTATAGAGTTCGCTGGTAATCATTTGTTTACGACTTCACTGCAGCCATGAAAAATAGTAAATACGTTCACTAGCTTCCCTCGGTTGTGTTTCCCTTCTCTCCCCCCCCCCCCCCCCCCCCGGTTGCTTTACGCATCTCCCGCATTTAAAGATCACACCAGGTTGGCGGGTATGCAATTTGATGTGTAGGGAAGTGAAAGTAACAACCTGGCGCTATCAGTGTTCTTCCTGAATTTTAGCAGCCCAGGGTTCTTTTCCTGGATGGCAGCTAGGTCTTGGAAATCGATAGAGCCAGCAGGTGCAACACTTATTCAAGGCTGTGCATCAGCTACCATGTTTTCAGTCCTATTGATGTAGCAAATGTTCATAGAATATCTGAAAAAAAAAAAAAAAAAGAAGTGGCCAGTGGCCATAGTTTTTATTCTGAGTAGGAAGACTGTTGCTTTTGAAGAGCAAGATTAAGGCCTTGTGTTTAGTTAAAATATAAAAGGTGCAGCCTTTTAAGAAGAAATGAAAATGATGGTGCATCTTGGCATAGTTTGAGGCTTCTGTTCAGCATAACTAGATCGAAGATTTCAACATGTAAAAGACATGTGGACCCCATTACTATCTCATGGTGTCATAATTTTGCTAGTGACTTGTGGCTATTTAACTTAGCGATTTCTGTTCACTTGCAGCAGATTTTGATTCTCTCATTCTGTCTAATTTTTCTGGATAAGCCATTTTCTCAGTTTATATGTTCACTGTGGTCCTATGGGACCAATGAAAATGCTGCATCTGTGTTAAGCTTCAGTGCTGAATTCGATCTGTTCTATCCTAGGGCCATGACACACTGTTCCAAGTAGCAGTTGCACTCCTGACGGTGAGTACCACTTGTAGTCTTTTGTCTACTTGCAACGCATGAAGATGTAATCGTTCATAAATGGAGAAATGTTCTATAAGGATCCAAACTCTGAACTCACAAGCTGCAAGTGAGAATAACCTTTCACCCACTCTCAATGGTGCAGTAAAAAATACTGGCCCTATACAGTAGTGCACCTGGCCTCTTCCATACTTGTCAAATGGATTGACTGGCATAAGGCTCTACAGTTTATTTACACAGAAGTACTAATGGGAAAAACATTGCATAAAGCCAATAGGTGAGAAGAGAAAGGCAGGATAAAAAAAGTGGAGAGAATTGTCTCTCTGCATGTCTACCACTAAAGAGTATCACTTAGGGGAAGAGTTTTTTTTAAAAGTCACGAAGATTTTTTCTTTGCCAGACTTGATGAAACTGCACAGTTTTCTCTAGTTGTTTTTTTGCTGATTCTAAATATGCAATTATTTTAAGATATGCCTATTAGTTCTGAGGTTAATCAAAATTAATTACTATTATTCCAGGTAACAATGGAGCAACTACTACTCATTGAAACCTTGCTTTGAGCTCATAGCTAGGTACTAGAAAAGATAAGCTTCACAAAAGTTGAAATAGTTTCTTGATATGACAACTGTTAACGATTGTACAGCATATTGAAATTTCTATCCAAAATGTGGCTAATTAGTTCAATGAATCAACAATAAAAGACATTCTAACTGAATTACAAAAATGTGCTTCTGCCCTTGTGGGCTGTACTCGTGTAGCTCAGTAATGCAACAAGATTTACTATTGTAGGTGCTCCAATTACTCAGAAACTGCTTCCAAACGTTTGCAAAGAGTACAATATTGAGGTTTTTGAGAAAATACAGAAAAAAAGTAAAACCAATTTTGAACCTCGTGTAACATAATATGTTCAGATATTTTTCAGGGGATGATTAGATGCCACCAGGGATATGACATGCATGCCTACTGCTGCAGCAAACATTCTTCAGCAGCAGCATGGCATGAATAAACTCAGTTTCTGTGCTTTTTTTCTTCTTTTTCAGATAGAGTATAGGCTATCTTGGTGTTATAAATTGCCATTATGGCCAAAATATCAATCTAAAGTGTGATAAACTTTGACAGTACTTGCAGCAAAGTAATTATGGGCTTACTCTGAGTCATTTTGATATCCACCAGTGTCAGTTGCTAGAATACCGAAGTGCACTTTGCAGGAATGTTTTCCAAAAAAAGAAAAAGTAAATGTCCGATAAGGATCCAAACTGTGAACTCAGAAACTGCAAGTGATATTTACCTTTCACCGCCTCTCAGTGGTGCAGTGAAAAATACTGGGCCTATACAGTAGTTCACCTGGCCTCTTCAGCACTCGTTGAATGGATTGACTGGCATCAGGCTCTGCAATATGTCTCTACACGAGCACTGATGGGAAAAAAACTTTGCATAAAGCCAGTAAGCAAGAAGTGAAAGGCAGGATAAAAAAAAAATGTGGAAAGAATTGTCTTGGTGCATGTCTGCCACTGAAGAGTATCACTTAAGCTGATGCATTTCCACCGGAGGCATCACTGACAGAAGTTTTCTACTCGAAATGCGATTTCTTGTGCACATACTATGCTGATGTTTACTGTCACTGATACTGCATAAATTGTGCAAGGCTGACTGTGCTTGATGTCGGGACAACCATCACATTTATTATGAAAGAAACTGCAACCTTTTTACTTGCTAATCCACGAGGGGGGGGGGGGGGGGGGGGGCCTGCAAAAGCAGTTTAAAGGCAGTAGCGTCACTATGAAACTGAGCTAGGGGGGAGGTTTGACATCTTCTATGCACGACCGAGGTTTATCCAGGAAAACTGGTATTTGACCGTATGCCTGGCATTTGGACTTTTTCAAGGGCCCCCAGTGCAGATAACACCACACATTGGACTTGGATTTAGGTAGCTTCCTGGGCTAACCCACCCAGGGAAAATCGGCAATTGGTTTTCCTACCCCCCTCTTTGGTCTTCATTCCAATCTGTTTTCATTGCTCACCAGTTCCATCTGTCTCTTCATAATTTTTGTAGGTTGCTTCAGTTAGCATTATGTGCTTTCTTTGGAATATATTAGTAGACTAGTAAACATCGTGGAGGCTAGCTGCCATTGCCACCAAGAATAGCCACGTGTGCATTGGTCACCTTCTTTTTCTCACTTGCTGATCGTCACCATCAGAGATTAGAACACTGATAAACTGCTTACCTTGATGAACCAACCTTAAAAAAACAGTTCCACACATGTTATATTCAATGAAAATACTGTAAATTATGTTTGAGCAAGTTCCCCTTTTGTAGTTGCCAAATTTATAGATTCAAGCTTATATATTAAGGGAAACCTATGCTTCCAGTTGTGCATGTACAGGGGTTCAGACAAGTGTTAAGGGAACCTAGCTTTACATGGGAACAACAAAGGCATAAGGAACTGTTGGAGAGGGACAAAAAAAAAGGTGATTGAGTAAGGGCTCTGTTTATTGTTAGACACAACATAATGATACTGACAGAGAGTGAAGCCAATGAAGGTATTCGCCCCGAGATGGAGCTACAGGATGCAGCACCCTCGCCACGCTAGTGTGGATAAGCGGCTGGCGGTGTGGATACACCGCCAGCTGCCTATTTTTTGCTAATTACAGATGTCCACGAAGTACAAAAAAATACCACGTGACAAACCCGCTTGCGCACCAGTGCGCACTATGATTCTAGTGCTCCCTAATGTTCTGCATATGAACGATACACTTCTCTCGCACCAGTTCATGACAGCGATAGGCAGTCACAGTGGTTATCGTTTTTGTGACCGATAGCTAAACGTGTTCATCGTAAAACCACAACCATTGTTGCGGCCCTGTCGAGACAGCACAATGGGAAAATGCTATGGTCGTTCGTACGCGGAACGTTACATACCACTAGAATCATTGTGCGCACTGGTGCGCGAGCAGGTTTGCCTGCCACGTGGTATTTTTTTTATTTTGCGGGCCTTTGTAATTAGAAGAAAAAAACTAATATACCTAACAGATATAAAGTTCAAAATTGTCTAATCGGACGTTCTGAAAACCGATCTATAATTTCCTCATTGAAATTTTTCATCCATCTTCTTTTCTTCAAATTTTTGTTAATTAAACAGATCTAATTAAATGGTATTTATAACACAAAAAATAGTTTGACTTACTCCAGGCAACGGTGAGCAACATGCATTTGGTCACGTAATCGTGTGTGTCCTCACATTTTAAAAGAAACTCTAGCTAAAGTTACCTGTGGCACCCTGTATATGTGGTCCATTGCCAAACGGATGCATAAAACTCGCTGAATGTTACTATTACTTGTGATAGAAATTCAATCTACCAATAAAAGGGATGTTCGCACTTCACTGCTACGTTTTCAAACTGAGCTGCCATGTTCCTCGTATTTTTATTTGAGTGTTGAGCTTGTGTCGCATCTACTACGCACTGCTGTAGTGGGACTGAATTCATTCTTTATGTACACTGGTCTTGGATACCAGAAAAAAAGGAATAAATAAATCCGATATACTTGGGTGATGAGCCCAAAAATATCGTGATGGCACATTCGCATTTTTCTTTAATTCAGTTCTTCATGAAGTCCCGCCGCAGTGGTCTAATGGCTAAAGTACTCAAGTGCTGACCCACAGGTCGTGGGATCAAATCCCGGCTGCGGTGGCTGCATTTTCGATGGAGACGAATATGCTGTAGGCCTGTGTGCTGAGATTTCGGTGTATGTTGAAGAACCCCAGGCGGTAAAAATTTCCGGAGCCCTCCACTGGACCCCCCTTATTAATCAAATCAGTTCTGCATGAAATAAACATAGAAAGGTTGATAATTTTATTCAGGTAAGCTAAGTGATTGACAGCACGTGAGTGCACTTGTTCTTACTCCTATAACGGTATAAAAAGGTAACAATTCAGCCTTCTTATATTGATTATCTGCAACACCATGATGCAACAAAAGTTCAATTATTTGATAGATCATTTTTTTTTCATGTGAATGTGTTTCCGCTCTTTCCTTCAGACTATCATAATGTCACAAAAGTGCTCAAGATAATGTAAAATTAAAGATGACATTCTGCGTGAAATTATACGAAGTATGTGAAGCATGCCGTCTGGATTAATTTTAGCAATCTGGGTTCTTTTAAGCGAACCCAAATCTAAGAAAATGGGTGTATCTGTATAAATTTCGCACAATGTTAGAATTGCACACAGCAACTCAATTGTTATCACCTCTGTGTCATTGCGATGTTCTGTTCTTTTTGAGGGACAATTAAGTATCGAAGTGTCAGAATTTACTAGACAGCAACGTCGTGGGACCAGGATCATACGATAAAAGGTTATCTCAAGCACAATTGAAGCTCCTCGTATAACCGATAAGCAACAGGGTGACATTAGGCACCCAACAACAATGCAAAACTTCGTTTATACCTTAATCACTAAAACACTATACTCACGCAATGTTTATTACTCTTCATAGTTGGGACGACGCCAAGTGCACTTTATGATGTGCTTCAGTTAAAAATTGGCACCTATACCGACATGATCCTGGCAAACGGAGGCTATGATGACGATACTCGGTGCTCTCGGCCAGTGCTCGACCTGATCTTATTGCAGTACATATCCAGCCGAGCAAGGCCAAATGCTTCTGTAGACAGTGCTAAGCAAATGTACAAGCAGTTACTCTTGCCCTAATAGAGCTGGACAAACTGCCCATTCCTTTTCGTTTATGTCATAATTACTACACCACGTTTAGGACCCATAAATAAGATCCCTATACCTTCCTTAGCTTCATTGTCTGTTGTTTCCCCGCTTGAGCGCATATGCAAGTTGTCTCAAGCGTATAAAAACCCACTAAACATTGTAGAGCTCCACACTACTTTTACTTCTTATATCAAGTCTGTGCTAGGACCGAGCTGTATCACATATGGGCTAATTTAAGTGCTACTTAACACAAAAGGAAATGTACTGGTGAGAGCTCCATTG